AAAATGCTTTTATTAATAGTTTTCTTTTTATCACTATCTTTAATAAATAAACTAAAAGATAAATAAAATATAATATTGTTACAGCTGTGTTTGTAGAAAAATAAATTACATTTAAAATTTATAAATAGATTACAATATATATTTTTAATTTTACATTGCTATGCAAAATAAACAATTATAACGTGAATAGATAATTAGGCAACAATAAAGAAAAATAAGAAAATAGAAAATTCTGAATTAAAATATTTTGCAACATTAGAACAAAATCTTAAAATATGAAGAAAACAATTGCATTCAAAAATTTCACTTAATTTGATATATACGAAGTACAAGGGACATTTCATAAATAATGCACACTAATTTTTTAATTACAAATATATTTTAAGTATTATCCTTAGTATCCTTTTATTTTAAGGATACATAGTGTTTTACTTGAATGAAAGATAGAAACTTATATGGCCTCATTATTATGGGAACTGAAACATTACAGAAAATAAGACCTGAATTATATGAATAATCAAATGATAAAGCCAAATTCATTATCAAATTGTAACTTGGCTAATACAGATATTACATAATTTGTACTACTAAAGATAAGCAAATAAGTTGCCATCTTGTATTAAATTAAAAAATGAGAATTTAATTAATTAATTAATTTAGAATACAGTAATACCTTGACTTACGCTACCCCAACTTATGCGAACCCAGAGATATGCGCTTTTCAAATCTCGTTGATTCATCTTTTGTTTGAGTGCCACGCAACTCTTGATTACTCACTCCCCCGCACTATTGTTTAGCTTACATGTTTGGATGTGTCATGCAGAATTGACACATAGCTACAATTTATTTTGTGTTATTTATTTCTGTGTTTGTTATATCTACGGAGACTTGAGAGACTCTATGTGGTGATTGCTTGTAACCGTGAACGAATCAAAAGACGAGATAAGATTAACGAGAACATTTATTAGCTTACATACATCCAACTTGGATTTTACACAAATTGCGAAATTATACCCCAACTTACGCGGTTATTGCTCAGTCCCTCCTATCGCATAAGTTCGGGGTATTACTGTATTCTGGAAGAAAAGATTGATTTGGAATGGGATTCAAACCTGCAACTTCTGCTTACTGTGCAGATGCATTGTCAAGTATGTTATCCAGATCATCATCCAAACCTTACTTCCAGACCAATTAATTTACAAGATATAATCATACAAGTCATATGCCTTGCTGTCTGGAGATAACTATGCAGTTTAAAATTAGCTGAGTGCCAGCTAATGGGTGTGTAGTTATCTCCAGTGGGTGAGGCAGGTGACCTATATGATTATATTTTGTAAATTAATTGGTCTGGATAACATAATTGACAATGCATCTTCACAATAAGCAGTTGTGAGTTTGAGTCCTACTCCAATCTTTTTTCCAGAATATTGTAAATTAATTAATTTAATACAAGCTGGAGACTTAATTATCTGTTTAGCTGCAATATTATGTGATATCTGTATATTTAGTTATCCAAGTTACAGCCCAATATTGAATACAGCTTTATCCTTTGATTATGGGAGCTGAATTCCTGATAAGTATAGACTCCTTCAAGTGACAAAATTGGAGTTTGAGAGACATTTTCTAAGAATTGAATTACAATAAGATTACAGTACATATATATTATTATATATGTAGTATTTTCATTTTTCATCAGATGCTTACCCTCTGGTGTTTAAAAACAAACTATTTTATCTGGGTCATTTGAATCATTCTTGTATATTGTCAACAGTAAAGATGAATAGCAATAGAAAAAGCAAAGCTTCTGTTGCTTCCAAATTGCAATTTCAAAGCCTTACGGGATCCCAATATAAGTTTTAGTCAATTTCCACATGAAAAAGAATAATTATTTGGAAATCAGTCAGTTATACTTATGAGCTTCTCTGAATTCTGAAAGAGTGTGTTAGACTAGGAAGATTTCACTAGTCTTATGTATTAGACTGTTAAGAATTTGCAAAAGTTTCCTGATTGTCCAGCTTCACATGAACAAGTTATACTGTCAATTTTAAAGCCTTTTTCCTTAAAATTTAAAATGCCAGTAATTTTTTGTGGGACACAGGGCCGGATTTAAGTATTTTGAGGACCTAAGCTGAACTCTTAGGATCTCAAAATGCAACCTTTCATAATTTTAGAAGTAAATCATAAAAAGAAAAGAATTAAATCAGACTATGTCTTTGATTTAATACAGATATTGGAAGAAAAAGTTGTGAGGTTTCACAACTTACTTGTAATTTTATAACTGAATTTAATTAAATTTTTATATCTGTTCCATTAAAAATCTTTTTTAAATTGGTTTTATCAATTTTTTAAAAAAAAGACTTTAATGTTAATTCTTAAAAAAATTAAAATGAAATACTACCCAAAATAAAGCATATTTTGTTGGTTTGTAAAACATTTTATTACAAAATTTGACTTCAATTTTCTTTTTTGTAGAAATGTTAGAGGCCCCTTGAAACTCAAGGCCCTAAGCAACAGCTGACATAGCTTACTTGTAAATCAGGCCCTGNATTAATGGAATACTACACAAAATAAAAAGTAAAGTATATTTTGTTGGTTTGTAAAAAAAAATTTTATTACAAAATTTAACTTCAATTTTCTTTTTTGTAGAAATGTTTCAGGCCCCTTGAAACTCGAGGCCCTGAGCAACAGCGTACATAGCTTACTTGTAAATCTGGTTGTGATTGGACAGATGTCAAAGCTGATGTTTTTTATCACAAAAGGCATAAATATATATAGATATATAGAATGATCTTGCTTATTTGTTTTGGTACCACATAATGAGTGTCCTGCTAGCAATAATTGTTCTCCTTCTATAAAATTTCTCAATAAACAGCTACAAGCAGCATGTATCATTATATCAGACAGTAATATATAATTAATTTTACGTTACTAGTTACAAGAGACCCAGATAAAGTAGCCATTTTGTAAAAATACTGCATCCTTTATAGTTCATGAAAAATTCAAGTATGGTTCATCTCTATAGAAATTAATATGCGAGTCTATCTAATTAAGAATATTTTATATACAATACTCTTATATGATTCTATAGTATAATTAAAATTCTACATACAGGTATACCTCGACTTACGTCGTTTCGAGTTACGTCGTTCCTGATTATACATCATTTGTTAAAAAAAGTATATGGAAAAATAAAAATCAAGTTTAAGTCATTTTATTTGACTTTACATCTGTCCGCCACAAATATTGAAGTCATAATATCACTAGAAAAGCGTTTAAAGCACATAAAATCATATTAAAATATATACATTTACAAGTATGTACTGTATTTAAAGTATATGCATTTGTAAATTTAGATTACTTTTTTCTGTACTATATTAAAAACTAAAATTTATTTGTTTGTAATCTTAAAATAGATCCTTATTAACCGTATATTATTAGAAATGCATTAATAAATAAAATACAGAACCGGGAATGGTAATTTATGGTTTAACCTAGTGATGAGTAGATTCGGAGACAAGTAAATTTGACTTACGTCGTTTTTCGACTTATGTCGCTTTCCTGGAACCAATTACCAACGTAAGGCGAGGTATACCTGTATTATGAGCTAATACTTAATCCAAACTGAAATTTGTTTAGATTATTTAAATCGGAAAAATAAAAATGTACTGTTTTAAAGAAATAATTCATGTAATGCTAGCAATAAAATATTTTAGAGGTTCAATTGCTCCAATCATCTACCCATGGATCCATTCTGAACACCTATATTAATACTTTTGAGTTCTTTATCTTCAGAATCTCTAAAAATAATGAGATATTTACATTATAAAATTATAAAAAAGACTAGAAACTCTTACTCTATAAAACTTATAAAGCAAGTTTATGTAATGAATAGTATAGTATGAGTGAAAAGCTGGAGGTGAATTCTGTTAGCTATTATGACTATGGCTGAATTTAAAGAGAGATGCATATAATTTATAATTTCTACATTTGTTTTTTTTTTCCACAATGTTAATATCAAAAAAGAAGGTTCTGCTTTTTTTTGATGGAAATTTTTGTAAAAATTTTCATCAAAAAAGTCTTGTATAACTTACCTTAGTAAGAATTCTTCTTTTTTGAAAGTTTTCTAATGTAAATATTTCATCATTTATAAAAATGATTTGATTTTGAAAATAGGGCCTTCCGAAAAACATTAGAATCAACAGTATTATTATTTAATTAAAGCTAGGTTTAATATGTATACTGGTACATGATCTTATAAGAGATATATTGTGTTTTGTGGAACCTAACCTTTGTATAAGTTGGAGTTTAAATGTAGTTTGTTTTAATTTACAAAAAAATTAAGATGACAATATATATTTTGAATTAGTTTTTACTTCAAATTATATGAATGCTAATGAATTCTATTTTTTTACTTAGTTACTATTTCTGCTCTTAATGAATCAGATCAATCCTGAAACTGTTTATATTCCTCACCATACATATGATCAAAGCATGGCATTAGGTGAACCAGAAGTTGTCATATTAGAACAACCTGCACCTAGAACATTACGATTTCGTTATGAATGTGAAGGTCGTCTAGCAGGATGTATAACTGGAATAAATAGTACTCCTGAGAATAAAACTTTTCCAACAATAAAGGTAATATGAAATTATAAATTATTTTATTGAAAGTAACTATTGCAAGAAGTTTTTCATTTGTAATAGCAGTATTATTGTGAAAAGTTTTAAAAGTACAGTGGTACCTCGGTATATGTCTGCTTTAGAATACGTCAAATTTGGAATACGTCCTGTTTGGACAAAACAAATTTTGCTCGGTATACAACTTAATTCAATTATATGCGCCATCTATGAACAAGTAGCACTATCAGTGTACTAGACCAGACTACATGTTCGCAGTACCATGGTTTATAACTTTGTTAAATTTCTTCTGATTTTAATTTGTAAGTAAAATTTTATTATTTTTATTAATCATGAATTGCAAAAAGGCAAATGAAAAGCAACAGAAAACTAAAAAAATGACTAGAATCACAATGGAACTGAAAAAAGAGATTGTTGAGAAATATGAAGGTGGCATGCATGTTCGCGATTTAACTGTTGCATACCATATTCCGAGAATGATGATATCAACAATCGTGAAAAATAAAGGCATTATTAAATCTGCTAACATTGTGAAAGGGGTTAAATCAATTTCTAAACAGAGATTGAAGACATTAGATCATGTTAAGAAATTGCTTTTGCTTTGGATAACTGAAAAACAGTGTGCTAGAGACAGCATATCAGAAGCAATTATTTGCAAGAAAGCTAAAAAGATACATGCTGATCTCATGAAAAATCAAGCAGGAAAGCGAGGTGTTTAAAGCCAGCCATTTTTTTTTTACATAAGAACGGATTAATCATTTTTACATTACTTCTTATGGGAAAGGTTGGTTTGGTATATGTCCTATTTGGTATAAGTCCAAACATCAGGAATGGATTAAGGTCATATATCGAGGTTCCACTGTAATTGATTTGTAAAATGGAATACACCACATTTATTAGATCTCAATAACAAAAATCAATTTTACAGGTATGAGGGAAAACAATTCAAACAATTTACAAGGTGTAACTTGCTTATTTTCTTTTTGAACATTTTTGACATAACAAAATGTTTTCATCAGGAATGCTTCTAAAATGAACACAAAGTGAGTGCAAGAATAGATATTTAAAAAATCAAAAGCAATCAAATATTTTATATTTGAATTTACACTTGGATTTGAACCTACTTTTCACATTTACATTTTGAAAAATGCAAATTGCTAATTAGTGTTAAATAAAAATTAGATCTATTGAGTATTCAAAATAATTAAGTTCAACAATTCGATGTAAGCTCTGATCTGTATTATCAATTAATTTGCAATAAATAACTGTGAATATCATTGGATTTTTCATTATAATTACAGATTGAAATTTAATAAATTTAAATTGCAGATTATTTAAAAAATTACAGATAAATTTAATAAATTTAAAGTATAGATTAAAATACAATATTCATAAAAATTGACAATTACCATACATTTTACCATTTTCGAATGCAGTAAAAATGTATGGTAATTTTTTATTTTTATTTTTTACTTTGTTGGGTTCTTTTATAGATGTTTGTTGACAAGACTATGTCTTGTTTATAAAATCGTACTGCCACCCATTCTTACCAGCATACAGGTACATGTTGAGAGTTGATATTTGGCACAGAGTATTAGATGCCTAAATCGTTTGCTCTAAAAAAATCCAGACTCGTAAGTAGTCGGGGGACCGAGAATCGAGTCAAAATAAAATACAAAATGGCGACCTTCTTCTACAAGCAGGCAAAACAGCCACCTCACCCCACTGAAGTCAGGGAGGAGAGAGTACCACCCACAGTCATTCTAAGAAGTGAACCTTAGGACTGAACACATAGTTTCTTCTAGGTTAAATGAAATTTGTAATCTAATTTTGTAAATTTGGGAGTGCTTCAAATATGACGTTAAAGCTGTTTTATGTCGTTACAAGTGGGTTTTTTTAACATTATCTAGTATAGTAAAATCGTAGGACCGATAAAAATTTGACATTATATTAGGGTTGTCGTTACATTCGATGACATTATAATCGGGTTAAACTGTATATTGTTTGTGCAAAATAAAAAAATAATTTTGGACGATACAATAGCCACGATTATTTTTTTCAAAAACGGGAACTTTTCATTACACATCGACAAAAATTCAATCCGGGCTGACATGCAACAGAAAGAAATTTTGAAATTAGATAAGTTAATTTCATCAAAGATGAATCTTGGACGATCTCATGGTCGTGGCAGGCAAAGTTTGAACGATTGCGCCCAAAAGCAGCAATATCAAAGAAGATCAAAGTGCCAAATGCAAATTATTTAAATTTTGGATAAATATATGATGATAAACCAGATGATTAACATTGGGATATAAAAGGTAAATTTGAAATATCTCTTTTGCTTTAAAATAATAAGGTCGTCATCATCATCGTCATCATCATTTAATAGATGTTTCTACAGTTAATGAAAATATTGTTGGCTTCAAATAAGTTAAAATTTATATGATATGATTTACTTTATAAATAATGATTTTAACCATTATTTTCAAAAGTAAATAATATTTATGTGTATTGTTTAATATGACTGATATTTTATTTTTGAAATACATTTAGTAAAATATTTCTTTTTATATTATTTATATAGTAAATTTTATGTAAAAATAAAATTTGATTCTTTTTCTAAAATTCAATAATAAACATTTTTGATTTAAGTTAACAGTTGCCAAATAAATATGTTTAACTAGCATACAAACTTGGTACTGCCTGGACAAAAATAATCAAAGTTTTAATGTGGTTTTAATTTTAATGTTTGTCCTTATTACTTTTTCTTGAACAACACTGGTTATTTCTGTTAATAATGTAATAAAAATGAATCAAAAAGTTCAGGGAGCCAATATTTGTTGTTCTTGAGGAAAAACCAAGAGGAAAAAATCAAAGCATGACTATATCTTAAGAAAATTGTGAATTATAGAACCCAGTAATAGAAACACTGAGCAGGTTCAAAACTTTTGCATTGTTTTGTTAGTAACTACATGTGTTGAACAATTGCTTCCATCATGTTATCAACAAATTTGTCATTGTTTTTGTTTTGATCATTTCTTAACAAAAGCAATTTTTTTTTATTTACGTATCTTTGTGTACGTGTGTTCCATAGTATTTTACAGAAGTATTCACAAAGGTCACAAAAATTTCTCTTTCAAGTGATGAAAAAAGTAATTTTTAGTATATAAGTAAAAAACACCAAAACTAGTTACAGAATTCTTAATAAAGCAATCTATAACAACACAGTTTAAAAGATCTGTTTCAAGAGAGAATAATTATATTTCAAAGAAACATTGAAAGTAGATGTGAAATAAGATTTTTTAAAAATTCTTTCAAAATATTGTTTGCTAAAATAAATTTTTATAATCATTTAAAGTAAATTTATGAATTTTCACAAATTTTTCTGTAAAGTGTGATGAAACAAGTTTCTAGGAAAGTATATAAATTTAAAAAAAGATAGATTTTCCAAAGAAAAGTTCAAACAAAAGAAGACAATTCAACATACTGTAAATCCAAACACAAACTTCTATAATTGCATCACAGACACAATGGTATGTCAGTGCCACAAACAAAATTTTTCTTTTATTTTTAAGATTCATAATGATGACTATTTCAATTATTACATATTTTAATTTGTCTCTGTTTATAGAAATATATGTATTTTTAATTTCAAACATTTGTGTTTCAGATTAAAAATTATAAAGGAGCAGCAGTAGTTATAGTTTCTTGTGTTACCAAAGATCCACCCTATTATCCTCATCCACATAATCTTGTTGGAAAAGAGGGCTGTAAAAAAGGAATCTGTAGTTTAGAAATAAAAAGTGCAGATATGGTGCAGAGGTAGATTTTTATTTATTTACATATTGCAGTTTAATATATTTATGGTTTCTTATTCTGAAATGTTTAGATATTTAAGGAAAAAAATGAATTTATATTCAATCTTAATACAATGGATGCTGCTTGTTGTGAACATAATAATTTAAAATGGTGTTCTTCAAAAAGAACACCCATTTTAAATTATTGTAATTATGTTAATTATTATATGATGATGTTGTAATGTATATTAAAACATTAGAGAACTGCCCAAGTATACATTTGTCCATTACAATTTCTCAATGTGTGCATTTTGTGTCACACAACATCCAACTGATACTTAGATTCTCCCTACACTCATTAAGCATATCTATTGTCACTATTCCCACAGAGGTTACAATACTACAACTCCTACAGATTACTCAATGATGAATGATATTGATTTTGTAACAGCAGAACACAAAATGCCCTCTCTGTTGTGGAGTGCTTCCTAGATGTAGTAGACATCAAGACATTTGAATGCAGATGGGGATGAAACTCAGACAATTACTCTATTGATTGGTGTATGTTGCATACTTTTCAGATAATAATGTAATTTTGGAAGACCTTGTATTGTAATAATGTTGTTATTCATAAGGTATTATTGAAATCAGTACATTCAACTAGTCATAAAAAAATGTATAGGAGAAACATTATTTATTCTGATAAAAAATTTGACTTTTATTTTAATTTGTCATTTACTTGATTTTTCAACTTTGATATTTTACTCTTTCAAGTACAACAAAGAATATTTTGAATGTCAGTGATGAATTAAAATGTTGTTGGTCACAAGTGCAAATTTTGAAATGATATATATTATTCAAATCAAATGAATTCCATTCAGTATGAATATGAAATTTTATTAATGGCTGTTCCAAATAAAGAACAGACAAAAATTTAAAATGAATTGTTTTAATTCTTTTTTTAATGCTTTTTGATTTATTTTTAAATAAGTATATTAACATAAAATTCAGATTCTTTTACAAGTTCTTTTTAGTTATATAATTTATTATTTTATGTCAATAAAAAATATAATGATATATTTGCTGAATTTTAGTTTTCTGTCTGTTATGTATCACTGGAATTGTGTCAAATTTGATCTGGAGGTTTTTTTTTTCAAAACTTGATATTTTGAGACCCCAAGCTCAAAAAAGTCAGGAAAAGGGAGAAAAATTCTGTGTGGATGTGATGACATCTACTTTGTTTAATATCTCAGGATGGGGTAAAGATTAAAAAAACAAAATTTTGCATGATAACTTTTATATAAGGCCTTGTCTGGAAATTTATGCATTTATAATCACTGAAATGTGCATAATTTATGCCCTTTAAATGCCTGAAATATTTATTTTTAATTGTGATTTTAAGAATACTAACAAACACAGAAAACAACAACTTAAATCATTTATTGAAACTAAACATAATTCCTGAACAGTTAATAGTTGCAATGACAGACTAAATACATTTTCAAAATTGAACCTTTACATTACTTTCAGTTTTTAGGTCAGAAATGCAGCTTCCATTTTTTTGTAGAATGCTAGATATAACTGATAGCATCAAAAAATTTTCATCCAGAACCTCCTGCTGCTTTTTATACAACCCTTCAGGTAGGCTACTTTTGTTTCTCAGTAATGTTATACAATTTTAGTTGCTTTGCTCAATGAAAGATTTGTGGTTTACAACTAGTAATTGAAGCAGATAGAAATCTAGTGGCAGTTGACAGTTCTACAAGATGTTCTTGGATTAATGAATTTGAAAACTGTCTTTTGCAATTGTAACAGTTGTTGTTACCTCAGAATACATGTTATTGAGAATCCATTTTACCTTCTCAAAGTGGTCTGCATAATAAATGGAATCTCCTATTCATGTTTCCTAGCAAGTAAGAACTGGTTTGGGAGACAATCTGAGATTGTGTTCACATTCTTTAAAAAGTTTAATTTAAGTTCGACATTTAATGAATGCTTTTACATATTTGATATTAAAGAATCCTCATCTTTGAAAGCTACTCAGGCTTCTTCAGCAACTGTTGAAGAGCATGGACTAGACACATAACATATAGCATTTTCAAATAGAGCACTTGCATTCCTTTGCCTGTCTTAACCATATAGGGTGTGCCATCAGTCAAAAACAAAAGGACAGAATCATACTTTTTCTTTTGGTCAAAGAATTCCTAGGACATTTTCAAATAAAAGAGCTATTGTCATGTGGTTGGTCATTTCCAAAACTTCAAAACATAGAAGAAAAATCATACCAGGTACATCTTTTCCCGTGTTTCTACTATTAAAAAATTCTGCTGAATATAAGGTGATAAAATTTAGTCAGCTGATAGAAAACAACCTTTAGAAGGATGATCTATTAAAATTTGCCTGCTAACACATCAAAGTTTAGTGCAGGAAATATTTAATTGTGTTACACATGGGCTTGAGCATTTCTGATAAAAGCATGTGTCCATGCCTGACATGTGCTTGAATTTTATTGTGTAAAATCACAGTGGAATTGAACTGATAATTTTTGGAGTAAACTATGGTAAAAAAAGATACCAAATATACATTTATTCATCAAAAGGTAAAAATGTGCCTTTTACATTTGATTTTATGCAAATGCATAAAGTTCCAGTCATTACTTATATATAAGGGATATTGATGCTATAAATTTTGGTGTATTAAAATTTGAGGAAGATAGAGAGAGAGGATCATGTGTCATATATCTTTGATGAGGTTGACTAAATGAAAAGTTTATCATTATTGTTATTTATAATATTTTTTAAAACTCATCTCTATCCTCAAAATTAAGCCTTTTGCTGTTTTGTTATAATTAATAATATAAAAGTTATTTTTTAAATAAAATCTCATATCAGCTGGGAAAGTGAAGCAACTTATAGCTGGATATTTGTTCAGTTGGTTAACATTAGCACTGTTATCATTTTAGCAATTTTCAAAATTATCACAATAAGAAGCATATACAGTCGACCCCCCTATAATTACGGTCCCTATAATTACAATTCCTATAAAACTGCGAAAAAATTGTGATGGTATCCGTAAAAAAAGGTAAAAACCTCCTATAATTACGTAAAACGTCATCGGGCAGCCGAACTACTTTCCCGCCGTCCGTAGCGCCACGCTACGGAGAGATTTCTATCGTCTGGACAGTATTATATAAATTATATATAAATTAGGTACTGTACATATAATTATATATTAATTATATATAAATTAGGTACTGTATATATAATTATATATTAACTTATTGTAACTTTGTTATAATTAAATATATAATTTCCGCCGTCTAGCGTGGCGCCACGCTACGGAGATTTTTACGCTAACTATCGTCTGTCAGTATGTAAATTAGGTACCGTAAGTCTAATACAGTACTGTAATTTTATACATTTCTTGTGAAAGAAACATTTCTTATTCAACGGCGATTAAAATTATTTATATTAATGATGTCTCCGAAGTTCTACGAAGTTTTCACAGAAAAATAAGTTGTTAGAAATCGGCCGCTCTTTGCTGAGCTGTTCCGCGACGAAAACAATGTTGAGCAATGGCAATGTCGAATGGTGACACTCGGTAAGTAATCCTACAATTTTTTGTTTATAGCGTAGTTTATACGGATTATTCCCAAAAAATATATACGTATTTTGGAAATGTTGAGTCGGATTAGTCTAGAATCGATTAATTTTATGGAAGAAAACCTTTCAGTCAGCCGTAGTCCGTAAACTTCACACGTGTTGGGCTGTGATTGGAAGGACTCGTAAGAAATCGGATTCCTAAAGAATGGAACGTATCTATGATCTTATAGGGAGGTCGACTGTACTGTATTTCATATACATAAAAGAAATTTTTGCAAAAGTCAAATTTAAAAAGCACTATCTGAAAAACATTATTAATTCAATACTAAATTCAAATTAATAAACGTTTTACAATATTTCTACTAGCTAAAATATCAATATAAAAATATAATGATTCTTATTTTCAGTTTAAATATGAATGTGTTAATTTTACATATACATTTGTATGTTACATAATATAACACATTTTGTATTTACATCACACACACACACACACACACATTCATTTACTTGTACTTTGTACTATATGATTATAAATAAAATTTTAAAGCTGTAATTAACCAATATAAAACAAAAAAGCTAAAGCTAAATTTAAGTTATGTAAAAATATAGTTTATTTAATTTGTAAGAATTTTAAATTTTATTTTTACAGTTTCACAAGTCTTGGAATACAGTGTGTTAAGAAAAAAAATATAGAAGCATCTCTAAATCAAAGAGAACAATTAAGAGTAGATCCATTCCGCAGTATGTTCAAACATTATCATTCTTTTTATTTTAATGTAATTTTTAAACTTTTAAATTAATGTGTAAATTGATCAAATCAACATTTAGTATTGTTTCTTAGTATTACAGTAAAACCTTGATTTAATGGACTTTGGATTTAATGGATAAAATTCCAATTTGTATGATATATGGAGCAGGAAATTAACACCTTGTTAATTTTAAAATTCTTTTTACATATAATTAAATTAACAAGTAAATTAACATGCAAATAAATTTTTTATCAAGAGTCACCATTCTTAATTAATAAATACAGTTAAGGTGTATTTCTCACTATTGTTTGTGTATTTTAATTTAGATCATATACTTGTTTATTACAATCTCAGAACTACAGTGAGCAATATTATGTATAGAAACCTTTTTTTGTGAAATGAAACTTCTCATACATACATACATACATACATACATACATACATACATACATACATACATAATTTTAATTATACAAATGTATCTACATAAGTAAAAGCAGAGAAGCTAATTTGTCAATTTTTTAATACATGAAATTGGAAATCCTACCTTATTATATAATGGACTTTTGGCTTTAACAGACACCACCTTGCCTAAATTAGTCTATTAAATTGAGGTTTTACTGTAATTTGATTACAATTATGACTTATTATTTAAAGCAACTTCTATACAAGTTACCATTCATCAGACTTGTGTCAGATAAATTGGACATACTGATGTAATATATAATATGAAATTTAAAATAAAAATATTTATAGATTTCTAAACAAAAGTTAAACTATTAAGCAAATTGATGTTTATTTGCACTATATTTTTGCAATAGAAGAACTTTCATCAGAAATAATAAGAATATCACAAGTAATAATACAAAATTTGAAACACTATTCATCCAATGCAAACACAATTAATAAAATACAATTTTTTAAAAATATTTGATATTTTTAAATTTTTAATATGTAATTTGATTTGTTTTTTCAGTATATTTTTAATAATTTATATAATTTAATAGAATATAATTTTTTTATTGATTTATTTTTTTTTTGTTTTTCATTACTTTAACAATGCAGCTTATTATAATAAACTATGTAATTTGTAACATTGTTTTAAATTTTCATATATCAGTAAGTGCATTCATTTTATATTATGATAAATATTATTAATATTTTACTGAGTTTTGACATTTGATTTGTATGATTCTATATATTTTTTAATATTTTGAATATTATTAGCTTATTTCATTTTCTATCAATATAATAAAACATTGTTTAGTTGATATATTTGAGTGACTAGTACTGTAAAATAATTTGTTTCAATTAGGAGTATACTTTGAATTGAGAAGCTAAGACCATTTAATATTTACTGTGCTTTTCTAGTTGTATCAATATAACCAATCTTGACTTTTCTAGGGAAAATTGGAAAAGTTTGCAACCTGATCATTCTTTTTATTAATACAGTATAAATTTTTATATTCAACTAAATTATGTTTAATTTAATTAATTTTAATTTTTGGTTTTTTAATAATTTTTTCATTTAAAAATTGATATGTTTCAGCTGGATTTGAACATAAACAACAGCCTAACAGCATTGATTTAAATGTTGTTCGTCTTGCTTTTCAAGTAATTTTGATGAGTCCAGATAAAACAAAAAAGTATCCCTTGAAACCAGTTGTTAGTGATCCAATATATGACAAAAGTGAGTATTTATTCTGTCTTAAAAAGTGATCCAGGCTAATAGCTCAGAAAGAACTGTCTGATTCATGTAAATAAGGCTTGCCTTCATACATTATTGAAGATGGGCTGCTCACTGGTGCATCAGTGAATTTATCCTATCTCACAAAACATTAATTTATTATTTTTTCAAAATTTAAGCTCCTGTTTCAACATGCTCTACAACTTTACAATTAGAACTGTTTACAGTTCTCATTGTAGAGCATGTTGTAATCAGTACATTGTTTATTTTGTTCTGACAGCTGTATTTATCACAAACCACTTATAGTTTGAGAAGCAAATACTTACAAGTAACTCAGCACTACAGGGGAAGCTGGTTACACAATACTTCACTTTGAATTTTTGAGAGTATGTGGCATACCTTCTTCATCCTTTTTTAATTGAACAAAATGTAGAATTTTATTCAATTAAGAAATTGTTAAAATTTTGACCTGTTCTACAACTTTACAATTCAAACTGTAATTTTATCTGCAATAGGAGCTTAGATAATTTTATATGTACAAAAATTATGAACTATGCCATCTACAATTGAATACCATTCTGGTGATAAACATACCCGTATTTAAATTAAGCAATTTTATATTTTTATTGCTCAATTTTTTCTTTAAATAAAATATTCTTTTATTTTCCTTTTTTCATAAAGACAATAATGTAATAATTTTTATATTTTATTTGAAAAATTGTTTACTGTTGGTCTACAATTAGAAAAAGTGGCTGTAGTATAGGCACATGCAATGTCATCAGCTCTAGGATTTTTAAAATCAATTTCTCAGTGATCATCTTATTAACAAAACTAAGACTGATAGCTATACACCAACCAATGCCGAATAATATCTGGCAAGAAACGGCTATAATATTAATAATTTATAAGACAATTTGGCACTAGAGTTAGGCGTTAGGCATCATCTCTTGATAAATTTAATAATTATAATTTTAATTAGATAATTTAAATAATTTCGAACTACTGGAAGAAAAGAATCAGCCCGGAGCAGGACTCGAACCCACAACTCCTGCTTACCTATGCAGATGTGTTGCCAATTATGCTATCTGGACCTTCAATTCTATCTCCTCTTCCAGTATATATAAGCTTACATTATAACCATTGACAGTATTTACAATTATAGCCCGATAATATTCGGCATTTATAATATATTGGGTTTAGTGATGTTTGTTTATTTAAGACTGATAGAATATGTACATATCTTTTCATCTCTTATCTAAGGCATGTTACTTTATACTTCACGTGCTATTTAAAAAAATATGGGTACTATTCACCCATCTTACCACAACCTTTCTTATGGAGGTTGATATGCAATGATATTAACCCACACACTATTCTCAAGAGATCAGGGATATACCAAATTTCATTAAGACAAGGTTCTGGTGCTACCACAATTTCATACATTGGGGCAACTCCTAGAATAATGGAGCATCAGGATGACATTTAACATGGCAAACAAACCACAGAATTGTCTAGGAGAGTTCTTGAGCATAGCAGTGAACCTTTATGGTCAGATGCACTTTTGCTCCATTCATTTACAGAATGTAGCATCTTGCTCATTTGGGAGACCCTGTATATCACAACAACAACCCCTGTAACTATTTCACGATTGACATGCTAAACCTGTTGATCTCGCTCTTTAAGGTGGTAATGGCATAGGCATTAAGGGCACTCTCTTTTCTCCTATCTTCCTTATCACCTTCTGAATACCTTTTATTAGATATAAATTTGTTTGTGCACTGAGATACACCATGTCTTAGTTTCATAAGTTTAGCAAGTTATAATTTTAAAGGTTCAAGTGCTGTGACAATTTAATTTTGTGTTGCACATTTAACTAGAGTTTTATCAGTATTTATTGTTTTAATAACAATCATTGTTTGTTACAGTTTGAAACCTAGTTAAAAAAAATTCATATTCATCATTCTAAATATTGCAACACTATTTTTTTGGATTCAAATTTTATATGTTAACGTCAGCAGTTTGAATTTATGTATTCTGTTGTAGAAATGTTTCAAAAATGAATAAATTTGTAATGGTGCATGTTCAGCATTTTATCAAACTAGCCTGAAGACTGCATCAATATGGTATGGAAAGTACCAGCAAGATTTTTCTAATAATAAAAGAAGCAAATACTGATAGAAGTTTTCTTCTTTAATTTGTTAGTAAATTTTTAACATAAAGTGCATAAATACTTTAAATTACTATGGAAACTGCTAAATTTTTTTTGCATTGGTTTGGTCTAGAACAGCTGTTGCCAATAGCTGGTTGTGGACATTGATCAACTCAAGGTTACATGAAGTATTAGGAAAGAAATACAAAATGCTTGGTTGTTTTTTCACACTCATTGGGGGTTTATTATTTGAATTTTAAACCAAACATGAAATGACAGTTATTAATAAATAATGTGAGTGCAATTGTCCTCCTTCATGGAAAAGAGCCAAGAATCCATAAACTCATTTCAAACAAGCAGCAACAAACTTTACACTAATTTGTTATTATTAAACAAGTGAATTTCATGTCAATAAAGTAAAATAGAACTTTTATGATCATTATTGTATTTAAGTATATGAAGACAAAGTCTGCCCAAATAGGGACCATCATCTATTAATTTCGTGTTCCAGACTGTACAATCTTGGTGACTGACTTTCCTTTTAGGCTACTAGCCGCCTAAATGCTAAAAAGTCCTTTAAAAAAAACACAAAAAATATATCCAATTAAAAATACAAAGATTTTCTGAAGAAGGAACTAGGAACGAAATTAACGAAAAAAAGGAACAAAATTAATAAATGGTGGTCCTTATTTGGGCGGACTTTGTCTTCAAATATTTAACTACAATAAAATCCATATGACGAAAAAACCAAACATTATTGTATTAATTAAAAATTTTATTACAGTAGTCCACAGGATTCAAAATTGTGAGTTTAGTAGTCTGTGAGATAAGAAAGGTTGGTGACTGTGTTCTAGAACATGGAAGATTAGGCTCAAATTACAGCTTAAATTTTTTCTACATTTGCACACACATTCTGAAGTGCACTTTTCTGGACAGTTCTTCCTTTCCAGAATGTGTATTGTCCATGGTTCCCTTATACAAGATGATGTTATTGCATCTCATAAGATCCAAAAGAAAAAGTATAGCTATTGTTGAAGAAACCCAATTTTGATGCATTGTACTTTCTGAAGCAGTTGTGATCTCATAATGCTATATGTGCACTTATCTATAGTGCAATCATCATGTACAATTCTATGTTCCTTTTCAAAAAGAAGCCAAGTAGCAAGTTCACCTGGTTCAAAGATGCTCCCAGAGAGAGAAATACACTGCCTACCACTTCCATACTTGAATTTTTTTGGACTCTGTCACTGAGCAGGTGAAATGTTATGCAAGAAAGTCCTAGAAAAATACACTAGTTTTTGATACTTGAATTGTCTTGTTCACTGTTGCAAGAGCTTAAAATGATCACATCAAATACCTAGTATAAGTTTTTGGGAACAAAATGAGAACTTTTTCCAGTTGATTAGGGACTACAGCTGTCTTTATTGGATTTGTTTCAAATTAAACCTAGTAATAAAAGTTTTTACATATTTTAAAGTAATTTTACTATAAAAAATGAATGTAACTATATGGCATTTTATCTGGTTTAGTTTAAAGATAAAAAACTAAAACTTGTTTAAAACAAAAACCTACCAAAATGGAAAAAATAATTCAGTTCCTTGTGATTCTGATTTACATAGGTTTTATTGTATGTGAAAAATATGTAGCTTTTATAAGACAAATTGCATTTCTTCAAATAAGATATATATGTGGGGGATCCAAAAATAACAGGAAAAAAATTCAGAAAAAATTGTGTATTTAACCACTTTTTACTAACCTTTAACATGCAGTCTATTTTATTAACGTAAACGAAGGTCAATTAATTTGATCAAAAACGTTAGATTATGTTAATAAAATAGACTGCATGTTAGAGGTTAGTAAAGAGTGGTTATTTTTAAGTAAGTGCAGTTTGAGAAGAGAATTGTGTATTTATTTTAACAACTTCATATTTTAATCTCCTTGAAAATACTCTCCATTAGCCTTAATACATTTGTCCAAATGTTTTTTCCATTGTTCAAAACACCTAGAAAATTCCTGTTTTGAAATGCCTCTTAGTGCCTTCATTGTTTTTGTTTTCATTTCTTCTACTGTCTGAAATTGCTTCCCTTTGAGTTTCCTCTTCATCCTAGGGGACAAAAGAAAAATCACAAGGTGCAAAATCAGATGAATAGGGGGTGGGGGAGGAGGGTCATGCCATTTCTTGTCAAAAACTGCTGCACAGAGAGCACCGTATGAGCGGGTGCATTGTTGTAACGGAAAAACCAATCCCCCATTTGTCACAAGTCCCTTCTTTTCCTTCTCACATCATCACAAAGTCTTTTGAGGCTTTCAGATAACAATGTCGATTGACTGTCTGGCCTGGATGGACAAATTCTGAATAAACAATTTCTTTCACATAAAAGGAAAAAAACAGATTAATATCGTTTTCACATTCAACTTCCCTTGTCTTGCTTTTTTGAGAGGAGGAGATATTGATGTTTTCCACTGGCTGGATTGACATTTTGTTTTCCGGTTTGTAACCATAACACCATGATTCATCACCAGTTATCATTTTCCAAATGTTCTTTCAAAGTCTGACAAGCTGCCAAGCAATTGCCTTTCTGATTGGCAGTCAACAAGCATGGAACAAACTTTGTGGAAACTCTTCTCATGCCAAGTTCTTGTGACAAAATTTGCTGAATCAAACTCCACAAAATCCCAGACAAATTAACGAGTTCATCAATGGTGCGACAGTGATCTTTGTTAATGAGATCACGAATTTTCTCAACATTTTTAACAGTTTGAATGGTAGATGGATGACCAGATCTCAGTTGATCTTCAGGATGTGAGATTTCTCCTTTTTGAAAGTGGAAAAACCACTCATAAACCCTTGTCTTACTCTGGCATCTTGTTTGTAAGCATGTCGAATCCTTTCAACCATTTCCAATCCACTTTTTCCTAACAGGAAACAAAATTTCACAGCAGCACGTTACTCTTTAAAATCTGATATCACATTTTCAATGAAAACAAAAAAATATTTCTCACAAAAAATTTGCTATGAACCAACAAGTCTTGACATGCCAACGCTGCTTCGCATACTGATTCCAGAAAATTCTATCTACTGACATCTAGTGGTGGATACATGTACTACAAACCTCCCACCTTCCACAAAATTATTCCTGTTATTTTTGGGACTCTCCCATGTATATATATACTTTATCAATAGTTTAAAAAATACATTTAGAGAAATATATATGAAAATCCATAATAAAATTTTTTATTTACATGTTGTATTTTAAAATTAAAATTAAGGTAAGATATTTTAAGGTAAAAATGAGGAAAAATCAATTTACTGTATATTCTGCTTAGTCATATTTGCAGTTTCATCATTTTACTTTATTAGTTTATTTAGTATGTGATCATTAAAATACAATATTAAATGTGCTATATCATTGTAAAATTTTTCATAACTTAAATTATGTTTAATTACATATAATTGTTATGATTTTGTTATTTTTTATATAATTTACGTGATTTATTTCAGAGGCACATTCTGATCTCTCTATTCACAAATTAAGTCATTATTCTGCCCCTGTATCTGGTGGAACTGAAGTAATTCTTCTTTGTGAAAAAGTAAATAAAGGTAATTAAATTTATTTTATATATATTTTGGATTATATTTACAGTAGAGCATTGATTATCTGACTCAATTGGGGACTCAGGTTGGTCGGATAACTGAAAAGAAGGGAAAAAATACATTATTAGTATAGTATATTAAGATATTAGTATATCCCATGTAATTAGTTTATTAGTATATTGCTATTAACCAACTTCGCGTCGAATTTTCATCGATGTTTAGCCTAACAAAGTTTTTTTAAAATAATAATCGTCGCTATTGTATCGTTAAAAATTATTTTTAAATTATTTTATTGCTCACGAAACAAACAACCACTCATAATTAGAAAATTAAGTCTCGTTTAAATATTGGCCTCCCTTCAATGGTCGAGCCGTTGATGTCAGCTGAAACACGCAAAAATTTAACAAAAATAATATTAAAGTAGCCAAGACATAGCCAAATATTGTAATGCCACATCACTAGCGGCGATTTGAAATTTGCCGACTAGAACAGTCGGTTAACCGATGTGACGGTTAATCGGGAGTCGGATAATCGATGCTCTACTGTATTTCTTAACCATAACCAAGAGAATCTAATTATCTTTATTAGATAAATATCCAATAATTTCAATTGATGCAAACTATATTTTCTTGATTCTAAGATTTAGTGTGAGTTTAAAATTAAATTTATAAAAATTTTTTATGGAGAGAAAAAAAATTGAAAGTAATCAATTTTATTAAATTTCATAAGTAACAATAAGTTAGAAAAATAATACAAATATTAATACAATATCATGAAATGAATAGTGTTCAGCTTTATTTCCATACTCTTCTGCATAAACAATAACTTTTTAATACTGAATTATAATGTCTTGAAGAAATTTTATCATTAAACAGGAGCTTTAAATACTTATTAACAGTGAAACTCATTCAAACTGATGTGGTCATTGAGCAGCAAAGCTAAAACATCTGTTATTGATGCATAATACATAAAATTATATGGTCCATTACAATAACTTTTGATTGTTGTTTTAGACTGTGAATGTAAGATGCCATTGATTCTAAGGCACATCTCTTTTTTGATAAGTAAGAATGGGTAAAAGAGTGCATCTCAGGATTGAGGAAGTATAATATATGATCTCATAGTTTACAGGCCCTGTCTGACATCACATAACTTTCTTTACTTCAATTCTTGAACACTATCCTCATGAATCATCAAGTTTCTGGTTGTTTAACCTACAGACATTCCTCAATGTTGTAGTAGGGCTGACTTCACACAATAATAGTGTGAATTAATTAATATCATATTAATTGTATTTCATAATGGTAAAAGTAAGCAAATCACTAATTTGCTTTTCTGATTAAAAATGCTTAAATATTGATATAAACAAATAATCATTATACAAGGGTTATCCAGTAAATAGCTGGACTGGCTTTATGGATTCACAAATATTATACATTACAAACATTATTGCAAACACTTATTTTTACAGCATAAAAGTAAGCAAATGACAGTGTTAGGTGACAAGACAACAGAATCCAGTTATTGGAGAAATATTGGACAAAGTGTATTGAATTAAAGGGAGATTACATTGAGAAATAAATGCATTTTTAAAATAAAAAATTTTTTCACTACTAGGCCAAGAATTTTTCATCTTGCCCTCATATATTACTTGAGTTTAGTAATCATTTAAAACCATCCATTCAACATTGTGCATTGTACCTGCAATGATGATATTTACAAGTAGACTTGGCTGGAAATTATCTTCAATGGATTTTGGCCATTTCCTCATATTTACAACTTTGAAAGAAAGAAATTGGTCCCATCAAATGGTACTATAGAGTTCCAGTGATTGTAGTTTAATCATAAGAAACTGTGATCCAGTTACCACTGGAGACCTCTGGACTTAAGTCAGATCAAGAAGTACTTCATCACAGACAATTACACACCATAGGGCAGCCATTCTTGATTTTCTCATTCTCTGCGTCAAATTCAAACACCTTATGTATTTTATGCAACTTGAAACCACTTGGAATGCTATATATCATAGAGAGTTAGACTCATACATAACAGACAATGGAGGCCCTTCTCTCCCCCAAAAAGAGGATTCCTTTGCATCATGTCCACCAAGCTATATGTCTACAAGGCTAAAAGACTATTCAGCAATACAGTAGAGCCTCGAAAACTCAGCCTAATGTGGACCGAAGGGTGGCCGAGTTTGTGAAAATGCTGGGTTATCGGGAATGGGGTTAAAAAAAATAAGTATGAGTGTTTCCTCAGAAAATACTGTACTGTACTTGTATGTATTGTTTAGTTGAGAATACGACAGAGAATAAACTGCCCAAATACCCGTAAACAAAGGAAAAGTACGTCTTTTATGAAGGCATAGAGCCTTTACTACATGAAAATGAAAATTAATGAATACACTGTGTACAATAATTTACCTGTAAGACAGACCTCAGAAAAATACTTTGAGGCATAAAGCTGTCTTTATCATGAAAATTAATTGACTAAGGATTTTTTTGCCCTGCCAGGGTGTGGCCGAGTTATCCGGAGTGCCGAGTTTTCGAGGCTCTACTATAACATTAAAATTTTTTATTGTCTCTAAGTTTTCTTTACTCACTGCTAGCATTGAAGTACTTGGTCTGTAGCTGTTTGATCACTCTGGAAGTAATTATACTATTCAAATACAGATTGCAGGCTATAGTGCTATCTCTGCTAAAAATCTATCATGAATTTCCATGATGTTGGCAACTTCCATTATGGGGAAACTTCATCACAGTTTACTATTCTTGAGCAACTGTTAATTGTTCTAATGCTTTCAACAATCTTTAATAATTTAAAGATGTAATAAAAGATTTTTCATGATAACATAGAAAAGCAGCCAAGTTGATATTTCTCTAATAGATAGCAATCATATGAAGGTATATGAGACGTGGTTTGATTGAGTTGTATTGTTGCATTTATTTACTGGACAACACACATTGTAGTTCAGTGCTTTGTAATATGTCAATAAAAAGAACTGTAAAGATAGTAAAGTATTTATATATATTTCTAACGTTACATTTAATACATTTATTTATGGTGTTTTTATTTGACAGTGTAAACTTTTACATATTAAAATTTTTTATAGATAAATTTATATAATTTTTAATTGGAAGGTTGCATAAATTTAATTTTAATTATGTATTATATTATACTTTTATAAATTATTTTAATGTATTTCATATTTTTGTATTGTTATTTGTGAAAATTATGTTTTATTTTTTTGTTTTTAAAAATTTTTAGATGTACAAATAAGATTTTTTGAAAAAAAAGATGGGCAAGAAATATGGTCAGCCAATGCTGAATTTCAGCCTAGTGATATACATAAACAGGTTGCCATTAGTTTTATTACACCAAGCTACTTTGATTTAAATGTTTCTCATGAAGTCAATGTTTGGATTCAGCTCATTCGGCCATCTGATAACTCAGCTGGAAAACCTCGAAAATTTCAATTACTGCCATTAGATGGAGGTAAAAATATTCAGTTAATGTGATTTTTTATTTTTTCTTATAAATGTAATTCATTAAATACATTGATACATAAATTGTTATTATGTTGTTGTCATGTCTTAAAAAATAATTTAAATGAAATAATGAGAAAATTTTTTATAGCTTAATAATAGTTCCAAAATTGATTTAACATTGTATAAAATTAAGTTAAAACACAATGTTAAATTAAATAAACCAGATTTAACATTGTTAAATACAATATAATAATTTGATTGATCACTAGTTGGACTTGTTCAGTAATCAATTCAGGTATTACCATCAATGTTGCAAAGTCATAAACAAACTGCCCACTAGTTCAAGCTTCAATTTCTTCTAAACATGACATGATATCAAGCCTGAGTTTGAACACTTAAGCTTGGGTATGATAATACTGATTGTTAGGCTCACCATCTTAGGCTGCTTTAAAAAAAGACACTGTATCTTATAACACAATCCTGTATAAATATGAAATTTCCCACTACTGTACTGTACATCCCATTAAATTTAGTGGAGTTCACCAACTTGGTGACACTTGATTACTGGTGAAAACAGCGTGCTTTGATGTTTTGATTAGCAGTTCAAATTGTGTTTTATTGCATTATTAATAGTTAACTCTTTGCTGTCAAATTTGTTTATCTGCCACTGAATTTATATTACTTCTCTGGCAATCTCCTTATCCAACACTGTTCCAGTCCCATGTATGGCTGATTACTGAGATTGTAGTTTTATATTTTCATGTATGTAACCCACGATGGTGTATAATCTACAGAAAATTGCTAAAATAAAAATAAACATTTGCATAGTCCATTTCATCATATACTCCACACTTATGGAACAGCTGTTGCTTGATAGATGAAAGTTCTTAATTGCAATTCTGAAATCTATGTAAAATCAACCCCAAAATCAACCCTGCACTCTTTTTCAAATTGTTTTTTAAATGCTAGATAATGTGCATTAGTAATACAGTGGTACCTCAGGATACGAATGCCCCAGCATACGAAATTTTCAGGATATGACATGAAATTTGAACATATTTTTACTCCACGTTACGAACAAAAACTCACCATATGATGCTACATTAGTTTGCAGCGCCATTTTTTATTCACTTCTGTTCATCGGTCTCAGTCCACATGTTTGCTTCATTGTGGAAAGATCTCGCTCGATAAAGGAAATCTTGAGGTATCATCAGAAAGTGACTGATTTTATTGAAAGAAACATCCCGAAAAGGTTCACACTGGCCATATTGCTGCTCAGAGTAATAATATTTGCCTAAGTCATTTTAGAAACATTTTAAAAAGTAGGCAAAGCCAAACCTCTTTGGATAGATATTTTACCAAGTGATCTCTATCCAGTGGAAGTGCTGGTGGAAGTGAAGTGATCTCTATCCAGTGGAAGTGCTGGTGGAAGTGAAGGAAAGAAAGCAAAAAGTAGTGAATAAAAATTTTAAAAAATATATAAAACAGAAAAGTAAAAAATTAGTGTTAAGTTGTTTTTAAGTTATTGTTACATTATGTTATGAAAGTTAAGTTTTAGTATCATTTCCCATCTCCTGCTCTTCCGCCACCAGTTTACACCTCCACCGTCGTCTATCCTCAAAGGTAAAGTGCAAATAAAACTACATTTTTTTTATCAATTATTATTCTATTATGGTTATTTATACATTTACAACTACAAAATGCATTTTTCAGTGTTTTCCTTACTAAAGTTTTTTTTTCAATGTACTACTCAGCTTTAATTTGAGTGTGTTTTTCATGTTGGAATGAATTATTTGGTTTTACATGTAATCGTATGGGAAAAAATGATTCACATTTACAACATTTTCATGATACAATCTCAGTTTCGGAACGGATTAATTTTATATCCTGAGGTACGACTGTACACATTTTGAGCCACAGCAACGTGTGGCCGGGTCTGCTAGTTAAAAATAAAAATTTAAGATGTTACTTCCTAGAATGGATTTGTTTTTAAATTATTATATCAAAAATGCATCAAAATGATGGTATTTTACATATAGAATTTTGAATACATTATATAAGTTTATTTTCAATTATATATTTTAGTTCTTTACTTTTATATTATGTACTGTAGAATAATATATTATTTGAAAATGCTACAATAAACTAATTTATTTTTAAATCATCATATTCAATTAAACAGAATTTTTTTTAATTTAAGAGAGAAATATTTAAAAAAATAATGCTTTAAGTTTTGAAATGTACTATATTAATGATTAATATTTATGTACATACTGAAGAAAATTAACTTTAGTGACAGTATTTAGTATTAGTGATATGATTATGAAAAAATTAAAGTTCAATAAATAAAATTAATTAATTACTAAATTTATGTACAAGGTTTTTACAAAGGATACAGACAGCATTATGGTATAAAATGAATTTTGACAAATAACATTTTTATAAATTAAATAATTAATAACATAATTTATTCTATTTCAGATCCAGAACATCTTGCTCGTAAACGAGTCAAATTTGAACAAGGTTGTTTTGATAATTACATACGAGAAATGACCTCACAAGGTGCTACTGGAGGACAAGGTATTTATAACTATTTCAAAAATTCTGTTTTTATATGAAAAATGCATTAAAAAAAATACAATTGAATTTTATTCATTTATTTTAATATTTCTGGGTTAGAACAACTATAAAATAAATGACAAAATTTACAAAGAATATCTTACTACCTATTCATTTGTGATTATTATTCTGAAATTCACTAATCAAATGCTTTCCAATTAATGATTTAAGATAACAGAATTTTTAGGAAAAATTTTCTTCATATTTTTCTTAACCATTTCTCTAATAGATAATTTCTAAATCTGAAAAATGTATTTAAATTATTTTGTAATTTTTAATAAAATATTATTTTTAGATTTTAGATTGATTTATCATTTAATTATTTTTAAGACAAGAAGTTAACAAACAATATTTTTTAAAATATTATCTACAATAATATATTTTAATCTATTATTATAGGTTGCGTATATTTAATAACAATATATCTACTGTAACTAAAAGTAATTTTATCATTAAGTGATCAGATGTTAGGATTTTATCATTGGAATACTGTTATACAATGATAGTGTTATAAATTTTATTTCATTTTTAACTTTCTTAATAAAGTTTAAAGAATTTAATTATATGTTAAAGTAAATGTATTAAAACTTTCTAGTTAATTTATTTTAAAATTTCCTTTAGCTGAAATAAAATAAATAGAAAAAGTAATCAATTTAAGATATAGCACGTGGTATTTGTTTTATACAGTGGAAACTGCTTTAAAAGGTAACCTTTGAGACCCACAAAAATTATCTCTAAATATAGGTGATCTTTTAATTATGAGAGTAATTAATTTTTCTTTTTTCAGGTAAATTTTATAACAATTTTATTATTTATTTAAAGTTATCATAGTTTAAATAATATAATTAGATCTATTTAAGTGTTTTGAAATAATAGAATTTATTACAGTTACCATTCAAAAAGTTTTATTGTATTAATTTACACCTGTTTTTATAATTAATAAATATGTCAATGTAAATGAAGAATGAATATTTTTTGTAGAAAAAATAATCTAAAAATTTCCAAACAAAAATATCTAGTTAACATTATTATATAAAAAGTTTCTTATACTATATTACTATAGAAATATAATATAAGAAACTTATACTATATTTCTATTACTATAGAAATATAGTATAATTGTAATTTTACTATATAAAGTAATAAAAAATATAATTAACAAAGCAGTACATTGCATGAACATGCAATGCACTGTTTTGTCAATGTAAATTGAATGTGAATGTATAGCTACAATAACTATTCCATGATAGATGATGGTTACAATAGACATATCTATATACATACATACATATTACACTACATATATAAAAGTCAAACTATGTATGTAGGCAAAGAGTTCTATATCATTCAATATGTTCTCATCAAATTTGTTATAAATTTTCTTTGAAACACTCTACAAAAAATACTATGGGATACCATCCAAACACCTCTTAAATTTAGCCTGAGCAATTTTTTTGTGTTTTGCAGTTTATTATTATCCAGGGCAATAAATGTACAGTACAGTACATTTTAGTTACTAAAACCATTATTTTTACCACTTTCTCCTAACCCAACTTTATCAATCACCTACTCACTCAAAAACTCAAGTAACACTGGGCACATGCAGCTAGTTAAAAATAAAAAGTTAAAATAAAAAATTTTATTCCAATAGTATAAAAGTTTTATTTATTTGTCGAAACCATGTCTTCTTGTTTCTTCTAATTCTATGTCACGACTTGGTGCATTTATCGACACTTGGCAAATAGTTTCATCATCCACTTTTAATTCATACAGAAACGCGTTTCAGGCTTTTGCCCCTCTTCAGTCTGTTACATCGATAGGTTGTGACTTGTGTATACAGTATCAGTCAGGCACCTTCCGTACTTCCCACTCCCCTCCCCCTCTTCTCCCGACTTGACGGCCTCACCCGCATGCCTTGTAACTTGTAACGTGTCACTTCCCTGAGTGCTGCACACAGCCTCGCCTGCAACTGTATAAACATTCTATTTTAATGATTGTAGCCAGAAATAATATTAACAAGAACCTAAGCATTGACATTCATAAAAACTGGCTACAATTATTAAAATAGAATGTTTATACAGTTGCAGGTGAGGCTGTGTGCAGCACTCGGGGAAGTGACACGTTACAAGTTACAAGGCATGCGGGGGAGGCCGTCAAGTTGGGAGAAGAGGGGAGGGGAGTGGGAAGTACGGAAGGTGCCTGACTGATACTGTATACACAAGTCACAATCTATCGATGTAACAGACTGAAGAGGGGCAAAAGCCCGAAACGCATTTCTGTATGAATTAAAAGTGGATGATGAAACTATTTGCCAAGTGTCGATAAATGCACCAAGTTGTGACATAGAATTAGTATAAAAGTTGTTTTAAAAATAGAAAATTTGTTAGGTATTTACACAATTTAATGTTGCTCCATCTACAAGAGCATGCTTTTATGTAGAATACAGTACAGTCGACCCCCGTATAAGATCATTGATTATTCCGTTTTATATGAATTCCATGTTGTACGAGTCACTTAGATTTTACAAATACGTGTACCGGGCTGTGAACGGCTCACGTATTTGTAAAATTTAAGTGACTTGTACAACATGGAATTCATATAAAACGGAATAATCAATGATCTTATACGGGGGTCGACTGTATGTTTTTAATTATATGATAGTTAAATGTTCACTACAGATAATAATGTAGCTTAAAGTTTTATGATACTTATGAAATCAAAACAAAAACAAATCAAAATACAGTGGTATCTCATAAACTTCAGAGTTTGAATGCAAAATTCAACAAAAATTCGCTTCAGAGTTAACAATTTCCAAACTATGTGTAAAGTGGTGAAAAAAAACATGCTTGAAGCATAAATACAATCTATTGTGTGTCCAAGTCATCTCTTGCTCTTGCATTAAGCTGCAGTTATGCAGATGTGGGAAGAGGGAAAAACAGGTGAAAAAGAACTTTTGGGATCAGAATTTGCACTCACAATACAGTTTGTGCATTATGTGCAAGAAACTCACCAGAGAACAAGAAACTTCCCTCATCCTCAAATGTTCAATCTGCTAAACTTTTGTATTTTTTTTTTATTCCTTCTGAATTTGTGCGTGCAAGCACACATGCACACACACCAGTTAGGCAGCCTTGCTTCTGTACAATGACTGCAATAAAATGGTGATGATGGCAATCTGTCAAACATGAAGAAAATGGCTCAATAAGCTGCATAAAAACACTATAAATAAAAGGAAGAAAATGTTAATAGTGTAGTTTGTTTATTTTTCTTTAACCTTATTTCTTTGTAAAATTCATTGGATTTTTCTTTCTCACTTTTGCATGAACACAACTAGAGGGAAAACAAGGGAGTATTCCTGAAGGCATGTTACCTTGGTACGCTTGGTTTTTACTCCCCTCCTGTTTTTCTCTCTCCTCTTGAATTTTTCATGTCTGCATAAACACAATCTTTAAACATGATGTATCTGGCAGCCATGCCAAAGTGAACAGTGTGACCAGTAAATGCAATTTTTATTTTATTATACAATTACAATTGTACATGAATTACTATGTAATTGCTACATTGGAATATTCCTTTATTTAAATAAAGTAATTAAATTTAATTGTTAATTTTAATAAATTTGAGGATTTTTCAAATTTACAGATGATGCAAATGAATTTTTACAAATAACATGAGAGAGATATGAGTTAACAATTGAAAACAGATTTTATTCATATTTATATTTTTAAAATAAATTATATTTATTATTTAATTGGTCTGCAATTTGAAAAAATTATAGACCTATAAATTTCCACTGTCATTCACTATCCTTAATCTCAAGAATGGCATTAGATAACTGAAAGACGAGACCAGATATGAAAACATTTGCTTAGATTAGAATTTTTAAGTGCGAGAAATGTTTTACATCTGGAAAAGTATGCAAGGTGGTTTGGAAGTCAACAAAACAATAAATATAAACTTATTAATTTTAGTTTAAGTTTTGAATAATTTACTGTAATAATCATTCAAAGATAACACAAAAATTTATTTGCATAATCACAAAACGTGTAGAAATTGATAAAAATGAATGATAGGGTAAATCAAACAGTTATTGACCACTTGTAGAATTTTTAAAATAAAAATTTCTTTTGACAGCAGAAAGTATTATATTTGCTTATGAATTATTTTTTATAATCTTTCTACTACCAACATCTAGAAATTAAACACCAATCATTTAAATTCAAAAAGTGCCTTGTTTTACAAAAATGCAAAGTTGTATAGTTATTGGCCACACGCAATGACAGAAAAATACGTGGAATTTTTTGCTACATATTGACAGCAGAAACTTACAGTAATACTGCCATGCAACATTTTCAGAATAGTTTTTAAAAAACTCTTATTAAAGAGGTTTAAATTTGAAATGGCCAATTACTATCTGTTGACTAGTAACTGGCCATTTATCGTAACAATTTAACAATAAATTATACTGTGGTCTCAGTCTTCAAATATGATGACTAAATTTTTATTTAACTTCATATTGTAAAATATAATGAAAGATTATAATAAAATATTTTCAAAATATAATAATTGTCTGATGAAATGTATGGTAAAATTCAAATTTGACTATTTCAGGTAGAGGTTTTCCAGTACCAAGACAGATTCATCGAGGATATCGATTCAATAGGGTGAAACCCGAAATTCCTCGTAAGTGATTATTTTTTTAACCTTTGTCTATCATTAATAATGTAAACTTTCAAATTAGTATATTTATAGTACATTCATGGTACCCACATTCATTTCATGTATCATCTTATTAAATAATCCAGAATAAATAAATGTTGCATATTATTTTTGAGAAGTATTAAATTACTAATAAATTACAATTAATATATTCCAAATAAAATATTTTGCATTGTTTCATATATATTAGAATGATCTTATACGGGGGTCGACTGTATGTTTTTAATTATATGATAGTTAAATGTTCACTACAGATAATAATGTAGCTTAAAGTTTTATGATACTTATGAAATCAAAACAAAAACAAATCAAAATACAGTGGTATCTCATAAACTTCAGAGTTTGAATGCAAAATTCAACAAAAATTCGCTTCAGAGTTAACAATTTCCAAACTATGTGTAAAGTGGTGAAAAAAAACATGCTTGAAGCATAAATACAATCTATTGTGTGTCCAAGTCATCTCTTGCTCTTGCATTAAGCTGCAGTTATGCAGATGTGGGAAGAGGGAAAAACAGGTGAAAAAGAACTTTTGGGATCAGAATTTGCACTCACAATACAGTTTGTGCATTATGTGCAAGAAACTCACCAGAGAACAAGAAACTTCCCTCATCCTCAAATGTTCAATCTGCTAAACTTTTGTATTTTTTTTTTATTCCTTCTGAATTTGTGCGTGCAAGCACACATGCACACACACCAGTTAGGCAGCCTTGCTTCTGTACAATGACTGCAATAAAATGGTGATGATGGCAATCTGTCAAACATGAAGAAAATGGCTCAATAAGCTGCATAAAAACACTATAAATAAAAGGAAGAAAATGTTAATAGTGTAGTTTGTTTATTTTTCTTTAACCTTATTTCTTTGTAAAATTCATTGGATTTTTCTTTCTCACTTTTGCATGAACACAACTAGAGGGAAAACAAGGGAGTATTCCTGAAGGCATGTTACCTTGGTACGCTTGGTTTTTACTCCCCTCCTGTTTTTCTCTCTCCTCTTGAATTTTTCATGTCTGCATAAACACAATCTTTAAACATGATGTATCTGGCAGCCATGCCAAAGTGAACAGTGTGACCAGTAAATGCAATTTTTATTTTATTATACAATTACAATTGTACATGAATTACTATGTAATTGCTACATTGGAATATTCCTTTATTTAAATAAAGTAATTAAATTTAATTGTTAATTTTAATAAATTTGAGGATTTTTCAAATTTACAGATGATGCAAATGAATTTTTACAAATAACATGAGAGAGATATGANTATTTTTTATATTTCTAGGATTTCCCATGAATCCACTAACAGCTACTGCTTCTAGTTCTGCTGCAGAATCTACACCATATATTGGAGGTAATAAATTAAAAATAAGTATATATGAATAATTTCAGTTTGTCAATAAATATAGTAATTTTGTCAATTTTATTAAATTGTTTTATTTTGTGGCATTGTCACAATTCTAGACATTTCTTGGCACAATAAACACAATTCTAGGAATGCGATTTTTAATTTTCTAAAATTGAGAGCATATAGTGTACTGTTTTGATCCTGTACAGTACATCATACTTTTCCTGATAACAATACAGTCATCTCTCTGAGTTCTTCAACCTTGTGTTCACGACACCAGTCCTGCAAAAAATTTCATAAACTAATGTCACACTAACTAAAAATTGTAATTTTAAAACAATGGTTTTTATTTCTGTCTTAAGGTTATAGAATTTCTTAAATATATGAAGAAGTATGAAGAATTTTTTGCCCTAATTACTGTTTTTTTAGCCTAAAAATTGATTGTAATTTTTCTTTTTACTTTCCAGGCTGTTATATGTAACAGAAGGAAAGTATGGCAAAAAATGACTCCTCAAGATCTTTACATTTTTGGACTCAGGACATCTTGAAATGTTGAGAAATGCAAAAAACTTTGGGTTTTTTTTTCCTATGTGTGTAGGAGACACAATTTGGTTCACCCTCTTTGAAGCTTAATAACTTTTGTGCTTTTTGTCAAAAATTTCTGAAATTTTGCAGGGTTGTTTGTTTATTAGGAGGCTATTAAATTTTGGTTATTAAAGGTTGATGGGGTGGGGAGATAAAGGGGGTTGTGTTTATCTCCAGTAGGGTCAGACTTAATTAATGACTATTTTACTTGTCATTAGCATTTACAATTTTTTATAAAACCATCCCTACCCTCAAAATTATGCTTTTTACCATTTTATAATAGTTATAAATATAAGAAGTTTTAAAATAAAAATATGATAGCAGATGGTGCCACCAAATGTTGCCAGGAAAGTTAAGCAACTTGTTGCTGAGTTTTATGATTGGAATTCAAACGAATCAATCATACAAATATATAATAACTTCAGTAACTTATAATAAGTTCAATTTTAACCTAATTTTTTAAGTCAACTTAAAATAAAGGAAAAAAGACAGTGGAATAGGACTTACTATACTGGTGTTAGTTTCTAATTAGTAAATAGAGGAAATCACACCAGTATAATAAGTCTTTTTTATAAACAAGGTCCAAATAGACAATGTTTTACTTTTTCTTTTTATATTAAGGACACAGAGGTAAAAAGAATTAAAATAGTGGAAGTTTAGGTCAATGTTTAATTACATTATCTGTGATATCTCATGAAATTTGGGTAAATAACATTTTATCCTTGCATACTTTAACAATATAATAATTAATGTAAGCAACACGTGTATTAATGAGAGTGATTGTGATTGAATTTCTTCCCATAGTAGTGCAGCTGTGTGCAGTCCATGAAATATTCCTATTTTTGCCAGTCTGCAGGCATGAAAAACTTGGAAGAACACTGATCTATCTCATTCAGTTCTGGAGAAAATGTTTGAATTCAAATAATGTGACATCTGGTCCAGACCAGAAGTTCATAAATAGTTAATCAAGGTCTCCTAAGCTTTCCATATGTGGTCTGGACTTTCATCTATCTAACTCTGTTCTCAAAAATAAGGAAGGACAGACAGACCGACGCCAGTGGGAATTTATAGGTCTGCAATTTTCAAGTTGCAGTCCAATAAGCTGCTAGCTGATGGAAAGTGGGTGATCAGTCTGATTTTATGTCATCTTACTAATACTTTCCTGCCCTTTTTGATTGTTGCCATGCCTCTCTTGGCATTGTATTACTCTATCCAAAAAAAACCATTTGAGATTTAAAAAAACTGCACCAAGTAAAATCTTACGACAAAAAATTTGACTGTCACTATAAACTGTCATTAGATTTTACTTCGTGCAGATTTTTTACATCTCAGATGTTTTTGTTTGGATATCAATTGTTTTTGGTTAATGGTCGTCTTGAATACAATCTCTCTACACACCGGTGTATATAAATAAAATACTCCTCAAACCTTTTAACCAGAGTGCTTCTATTTTTAGAATTTTGCGATTTTGTCTTGAAGTAATTGTCTTGAAGTAATAATACAATGATGTATAGTTCAGTCAGCCCTTGGCGACAGCTGCCATCTTAGACACTTTCAATACACCTTTTAGAAAAATCACTGAAAAGTTTTAATTTGCATAAATTTGCGTTTTTCGTATTCTGAATAACATTTCGAATGGAAATCATTCATTTTCATGCAATTTTATCCTTACAAGCATTAAAATTAAGCAATAAGAATAAATAGCTCTATGGGGAACCCCTGTAAACTTTGACGTATTGACCTGGAAGTTTTTGCAAGATTATGATAATGAGAAAGGCTTAAGTTTCAAGTTTGAACTTTCTATCCCAGTAGTAGTTTTTCTCTAGGAGCATTCACAGTGCTAAATGAAGAAAATACAGCAAATATTTTTTTGGCAATTTTTGGTTGCTTATATTTAAACAACCCCTTTATAAAAAATTTTGTCTACTACCTAAGAAAACAATTATCTTTCAAATGAGATATTCAGAATTACTTTATGCATTTGGGGACAGAGAAATCAATCCCCGAAAATTGGCAACTCTGACTCCTGTATATATAGTCAATGACTTTTTTGCTTGGTGTGGAGTCACTGCTGAAATTCTTGATACAGGCCTGTTTTATATTCAGTTTTATGTCAATATAATAGCAAATTGAGCTATTAAAAAAATAAACTGATCATAGGCTGCATATAACCCAAGACTATGCTTTGCTAATTTAAATCATTTTGAAATAAAAATATTTAATATGTTAATATAATTGTTCTGTAAAAAACAGTAACATGTTTTATTTAGAAAATTTCATTAAAATTTGTGGTGATAATTATTGAAATAGATCAGCTAATGAATTTTCTTTAATTGCCATCAATGAAAATTTATTTAATAATGCATTCTATGAAATAATTTTGTTATTTAAATTATTGCCTCCAAGATATTATTTTGATTTGTTTGTTTAATTATTTTAGATGCCTCAAATATTTTACCATTTAAAAAACTTAATGAGCCATCGTCATCTGTGCATCCTGCTGAAAATTCTCTTCCCATATCAACAACTCTTCCATATTCAGGTAACTTTTTAAATTATTTTTTAATGATAAAAGTCTTTCTTTTATATTTAGATTTATATGCTTCATTATACTAGTATATTTACTAGTTACTACTATATTTAGTATTGAAATAGCTTTCAAACATATTGCAAAAAGGCTTTTAAGGTAAAAATTAAGTGCTGAACAAAAAACTAGATTATTTTAATTTTTTTATTCTTATTTTAGACAGATTGAAGAGTTATATATGATAATCTGTAGATGTTAGATGATTAAAAGTTCAATTTTCAAAGCATACTTTTATGATACAACACTAAAATGTTTGCTGTTTCTTGATGACTAATTTGTTCAGAATATACTCTCTACGATGGTATTGATGCTTTAAATAGAAAAAGCCGCCCATTGTATTGCCAATCACAGTTTAGTTAACATTGTATTTTTGTCACGTGACTGCAATCTGCCATTTTCTAAGCAAAGCACATGGTTTTAGTATTTTTGTATACTAGCACTAGTCAAATAGTTTTGTGTTAAAATGTCATCAAAGAAGGGACAATGCAGCCAATGAACTACAACTTGTCAGTTTGAGATATTAGTTAAAACACTTTGGTTCTAACTGGGTCCAGTTTAGACATTTTGAGACCCTAAGCCGAACTCTGTGTGAGACCCCTTACCAACCCTTTACAATTTTAGAAGTCAATCATATAAAAAAGAGAATTAACATAAACATATTAATTTTAATAATAAATGTTTTGTTGTTAAAAAGTATTTGCAACATATAAAATAAGGTACAATTTAAAGAAGAAAACACTAAAAATTTTGTTTCTGTTGTTTTGATTGCAAAAAGCTGCTAAAAGCTACCTATAAAAATCAAATTAATTTTATATTTTACGTAAAAAGAAGAAATCACTAGAAATGTAATATAAACAATATTGGTTATTTATGTAATTATAAATACTACAAAAATCAAAAAGTAAAATATAGTTTTGTTGATTTGTAAAAAAAAAAGTATATCAAAATTTGATTTTCTTTTTTGTGGAAAAATTTGAGATCCCTTCAATCTCGAGGCCCTAATTTTCTCTCTCTCCAATTGCTGGTGAAGTATTATCATCTTTACATCTAAAGTCACCATGTTCTTTTACTTTTGTTATGTTTCTAATGGCACTTTGAGAATGATTGATAAGAAAAGCTTAGTTATCGCACGTGGCTATTGGAACCGAAAATGAAATGTAAGGCTTGGAATAGCATTTTCACAGTTGATTAAATGCCATCACATGGTTCTGATAGAAACTGGTTTTTATTGTATTTGTTAGCTTAATGATACAAATCAGAATAGGTCCCCAGATCCCAAAATGGTTGATATCTGAATGACTAAGACAGTAGCCTTAAAGTGTCATGTTTTCAATGGGCACTTCAGAGATGCTGTATACAGATTTTGTTTCTGTTCTGGCAGTTTTTTGCAAGATATAAATTGCTGTGGTTATTCACAATAACTAGAGTACAACTTGCAAGAGATGAAGCTTTTCTAAGATGGAAACTTGTGAAAACCATTATATTACATTTATTTCAGCATTACCTGTCAATTTTTTTTCTGCAAAATGATTTTCATTTGCATCTTAGACAGGCCATGAGTTAGAACCTGCTAAAGACAATTAATAACAGAGATATAACTAATGAAAGTTAAGCAAATATTGAATTGAAAAGCCTGACAAAAATATTACAAATGAATTCAACTCCTTTTGTATCATGATGGATTTTAGGGACTAGTTTAGTTAATGTCATAATTGACATTAAAGAGCTTGTAAATTGTTTCAAAAACATAATATTCATGATTAAATCTAACCACACAATACTTCTGATCAACATGAGCTTATTATTGAACAGTGAATACATTAAGTAATTTGCACATAAATCTTGTAACAAATTTAGATTTAAACATGCTACTGAAAAGTATGTTCCATGTCATAACAAAAGTCTTCTATTGGTTTCACTTTAATAGAAAATTTTTTGGTATGTAAGAACGTGCCACTCAATTTTGTGTTCAATAATATAATAATAATTTCTGAAGTTTCTTCTGTAATGTTTTGTTTCCATCTGCATTAAGCTGTATTTGTGTTTCCACTTTGGTTTTTTGATGCATTGACATGTTAGAAAAGAGTTTTGCTTAGAACATTTGCATGTTTGTTTGTTTGAGAATACATACACACCAATGTATATGTTCTGGATCCTTTTACTTTTTAGTAGTAGTTTCAATGAATGAAACTACTATGTGCTGATTGAAAATTGATTAAAAAAAAAAAAAAAGTACATTTTGAAGCAATTATGCTTTCTTGTTACAACCTGATTAAACCAAAAAGTTTAGAGCCCCTTGAAATTTTGCTTTCACAGGTTTTACTAATCCTATACTAAGGATCATTTGGAAATAAGTAAATCATACAGAATTAAGGGAATAACTAATAGTGGTTTGTATATTTAATAACATTAGAACAAAAAAATAATAATAATAATTAATTATGTTACAGAATTGAAGAAATTGAAATTACTAATTCAAGATCGATCTTTAGAAATCAACATGATAAAAAATAGTAAACAAAGGAGTTGTATATTTTATCATATATAACTGGATCTGACAAAGAACTGAATTTTTATAAAAAACAAAAATACAAGGGAGAGTTCAGAAAGTAAGTTGCACTCATACCAAAAATATATATATGAAACATATTGGTCAAAAATTTTTGTGTGTGAATATACAATCCAAAGCACTACTTTTCGACACATCACCAGTTAATTTAAACATTTATCAAAGTGTAACGCAAGTTTTTCTATTACTTCTCAGAAGTATTTCCATCCATGTGATAACCATTCTCTTGATGATGTGATAACCATTCTCTTGATGATGTGCATTTCCATTTCCATGTCTATGTCTAAATATCCAATTCATCAGGTAATCTCATTTATCATGATTTATCTGTTTGAACAAATCAGTTCATTAACATGGTAAACATCGTTGTCAAAGTTGACATCTTCAATGTCCATGCACCCATTCTGAAACAATGTATACCATTTTGCAACTGCTTTCTCAATGTATACTTCCTTCAACTGACATTGAATTTCAGTGGGGTTAGACCTTTTTTCCCATAAGAAACGAGTTACTGCACAACTTCCAATTTGGACATGAAATTTTTCATGACTGAAAACAGACCAACCTTTACAATCATGTTGACAACTCTGCTCTGCCTTGTAGCCAGAAGTATTACCAATGTTGCCACCAGATGTCATTTAAATATTGTTTATGAACAAAAAGTTCTCTCCAATTGCAACTTACTTTTTGATTCTCCCTTATATACAGTAAACAGTCAATTTAAATCTTAACTCTGATTTCTGGCAAGAGCTTAAAACATTCTAATTTTAAAATTAACATTAGGAATGTTTTTCTTAAAGATATGAATTTTCAAATGTGACTATGACTATATAATTTCCATTCTGAAATTTATAACTAACTAAAATTCCTTGCCCAGCTAAGATCTTTTTCAGAAAAAGTATTTGGTCTATTGTTAAGCTTTTCCCTGCCATCATATTTGACAGCTACATTGCCATTCTTGATTTGTTTCTGAATTACAGTAGAGCATCGATTATCCGACTCAATTGGGGACTCTGGTTGGTCGGATAACTGAAAAAATTGGATAACCGAAAAGAATGAAAAAAATACATTATTAGTATATCCCATATAATTAGTATATCGCTATTAACCTACTTTGTGTTGAATTTTCATCGATGTTAAGCATAACAAAATTTTTTTTAAAATAATAATTGTTGCTATTGTATCGTTAAAAATTATTTTTAAATTATTTTATTGCTCACAAAACAAACAACCACTCATAATTAGNGCTATTAACCAACTTTGCATTGAATTTTCATCAATATTAAGCCTAACAAAAAATTTTTTTAAAGTAATAATTGTCGTTATTGTATCGTTAAAAATTATTTTTAAATTATTTTATTGCTCACAAAACAAACAACCACTCATAATTAGAAAATTAAGTCTCGTTTAAATACTGGGCTCCCTTTCATGGTCGAGCCAGTGTTGCCAGCTAAAACACGCAAAAATTTAACAAAAATAATATTCAAGTAGCCAAGACACCCAAATATTGTAGCGCCACATCACTAGCGGACATTTGAAATTGCCAACTAGAACGGTCGGTTAACCAATGTGACGGTTAATCAGGGGTCGGATAATCAATGCTCTACTGTACTTGGATTTGCTTCCATGAATTTTGCAATCTATGCAATGCAAGAAATCTATGCAACGCTCTTACAAATAGTTATAGTAATTCCATTGACCTTTACTGAATCTGGAAAAGTAAAATGTTTCTTGGATGGGGTTCACCTTTTGCGTAGCTTTGTTTTGTTCTACATAAACTCCTAAATTCCAAATGGAATGGAAATAATATTCTGCATCTTCACTCATTTTCTTCCAACATTCCTTTGGACAAGTACATAGTTCACCTATTTTTCTAGTTTGAATAACCTTATTGATGAATAGTGAAGTATATTTACATATATAAATATCTCAAAACCAGATGTTAATCATGCCAAATGATTGCCATAATACAGGGCTTCTTAAACTTTTTTTATTCACGACCCCATTTATGATTGTGATTTCTTACGCGACCCCCCAAAAAAATATAAAATAAAGATATACACATATTTGCAAAAACAATAATGGTGTACTACTACAGTTAATAGGGATTGTAAATTTACCGACTTTTTCATTTACCGGTAATTCGGTAAATGAAAATTAAAATACCGGTAAATTTTTTCCTGGAAAATAAAATTAAGGTGATAAAAAATATAAGTCATTTTGATTTCCATTTCACATTTTTTATTTCAAAGATATAGAACCAGGGTGGCCAAGCTTCTTGATAGTCCGAGCCATTTTTCAAAATTTGAAATTTTTCGCGAGCCGCAATTAAATACATATTAAAAAGGTATGCAAAAAATTCCAGATTACAAATTATATCCGTAGC